CAAATACTGACAGATAGCCGACTGTATGATTACATTTGTTTGAATGCCATGCATTAGTGAGAAAGCGATTGCGTTGGTGAATAAGTGTTACCTGTTTAAAATGTGCTTTCACCCCGCCCGATCCAGCGCCCCATCTCATGAAAGTGCGTAGGCTATCTATATTTTATTTCTCGTGGGCATAGCCTACGATACGCACTTAATGGCAAGAACGCACTTCACACCCATCCTAACCAAGGGGTTTAGTGTGCGTCATTTGCACGCACAAACAATTTTTTGGCATATAATAATAGGCACGAGAAATAAAATGTGTGCTATAGATTCGCACTTTCATGAGATCGTGGTGCCCGCTCATATTCAGTACAGGCTTGACTATAACCTCCCCGCAGCCACTCATGTCCATCGGCGTCATCATATTCATAACCCTCACATTTTTTTCTGATTTGAGTGATCCATCGGTATCATGCTAGCGTAATGTGTTTAACACGTGAATCCTTACTAAAAATGCAGTTCTATAATGAGCCGTTGGCATGAATTGTCCTCGTGAGAGCGGTAGTGGAGCGCGCTCGGAGCGAGTGAAAACCACGACGCTCCGACTTTTAAAAAATCCGCTCCGCGCTCCATTCAAAATCATGCCGCTCCACTCCTCGCTCCGCTCCCACTCCACTCCGCTCACATACTCTGGTGCAATCTGTTAATGTTTTTTTTTATAAATGCTTATTCAGTAGTCAAAAATGACTGGAAAAATATGTAAAAGATGAAAATCCCTGGGTCATTACCATAAGAAATGAATGTATTAATGGTTTTTATCCAGTCAGCACAAGTGATTTACAGTTTTTAGGATACAGTTGCTCTCCTCAGGTGTTCATTGTACAGGTACATCTAAAAATGAATTGAATATGAAGTTGTTTTTTTTTTATTATTTAATTATACAAAGGAAACTTTCATAGATTTTAGGTTTATTGCATGGAAAGAAAATTATTTCTAGCAGTTTTTCTAATTTGGGTACAGCTAATCAAAAATCCAGTATAGCAAGATATCAGACTACGTTATAAGATCAATCAAAGGATTTTTGAAGGGCATGTGCTGAAACTGAAAAAGGGCACCCCCCTGATTTTTCTATCAAGATTAGAAAGCCTTCATAAAAAAGGAGGATATGGTCACATCTTCATGACAAATAAAAAAATAAAAAAAAGTCTCAAAAGCTTTAGATTAATTCACTATTAATAACAACTATAATAATAAGAATATAGATATACAAGGGCTTCTTTAAACCTTCTTTATTTCAACAGAAACCTTCTCGAGTCAAGTTTATGACTTCACTGTGATCCAATGCGTTGTGGAGAAGTCTCTACTCTATGCAAAGGCTTCAGAGTTGGTTCTTAACCGGCTCAAGAACAGAAAAAAATTATGAAATAGTGTGAAAAGTAGAGTTGCAGTGAAAAGCATTTCTGAAGGATCACTTACGTGACACTGAAGAGTACTGACCTGGAGTAATGATACTGAAAATTCAGCTTTGACCACAGCATTAAATTACATTTTAAAATATATTAAAATAGAAAACAAGTATTTTAAATTGTTAAAATATTTCACAATAAAAATAACTGAAAAAAATGTTTTTGCTTATTTTGGATCAAATAAATTAAGCCTTGGAATGAATTAAATCATGAATTAGCCTACATTCTGCATTATAAAATATAAAGATTTCATAGTGATCTTCTTTGCTGTTTTTTTTTTCAGTTACTACTACAACATTACTATAGTAAAACCATGTTTTACTACATTTATATATGTGAGGATGACCGGAGAATATAGAATACTATAGAATAAAAAAATTACATAGAATACGTGCATATTAACAGCATTGAATTAACCATAATTTAATATTATAACCATAACATGATTAAATGTTAAATGAAGTATCAGCAATCATAAATCAAGAAATAGCCTATAGAAATATATGTTACCTAGGCGACAGGCCCGGATTGGCCACCTCCTGGCCAATTCTGGTACATGCCAGAAGGTCCGGTGTGATTTTCTATTGTTTTGGGCCGAGACACTGATAGTTGCGTGTTCTGAGTCAGTTAACACAGTCAGAGAGTAAAAATATGGCTCCAACAAACAACTCCACTTTCCAAGTATTTGCAAACTAGTGGAATGGATTTGCTCACGGCCCATCGCTTTGTCACAAGCACACAAGAAGACAATCTGAAAAAATATGCAAGGGATTTTAAGGGGGTAGGCTAAAGACAGCAACAGACGCATTTGTGCAATGGGCCAATGGAGAATGGGCTTTAGTTTATTCACAGCTGCACTACATGCTTTTTTTGGTAACAGCCACTAGATGGCGCTTCGGTAGCGCGGCAGCCATATCGGGGTGAAAATTCCAACTGGAGTTACTGGACAACAGCACAGATAACAGTTTTTTGAGGTAGCCTAGTTTTTTCTTGCATTAGTGAGTATTTCTGCTGCTGGGCGCTGGTGTTGCAATGGGACGTTCTATTGGCTTTCACTTCTTGTCAATATACGTTCTTTGCTTAAGCCAGCTCCTTGTTTCCTGTCTGCCATTATTGGCCTTATTTGATTGGCCTCATTAATTGATTAATTCAGGTGTGTCTAATTATTGTTGCCGTGACTACTGAGGACCGTCAGGCACACCTGAATCAAACAATTTGGCCAATAATGGACAGGAAACAAGGAGCTGGCAGAGAAAGTCTAATATGACTGGCTTAAGTTCAGGGTGTGTGAGACAGACGCAGAGGTGGAACATGCGCTGCCAAACCGGAGACCAAAGAAGACAAAAAAAGATGCCAGACGAGTTATGTAGCCTAATGACACAACCATAGATGCTGACAGCAAGTATGAGGTACAAGTGCACAATGTCATTCTGGATACCATCATTGAAAGTATTTCCCGACGATTTGTTAAAAACAGAGAACACCGATTTCGCCCTGCTTGATCCCCAGAATTTCAATGACTTGAAATGTAACGGTGTAGCTACCTGCAGACGCACTCAATGCCCTTAGCGCCAAACTGATCAGACACGATAGCAGAGCAACTCCTGAGGCCTTACAGGGTGAACTACTTAGCCTGGCTACGCACTGGGACAAGCTGAAGGTGTCTGTGCGCGAAGAGTAGGCTATCTGACCAAGATGAGTACCGAGGAAGATGATGAGGAGAGTCCAGATGAAGAATGGGATGTTGTGAACAAATCCTGCCAATCTTGCAGAAAATGTCCCATCTGTTGTAATTATGTCCTACAAAGGTACCTGCTCACTGATTCCTATCTAATCGGACTTGGATACAAGTTTCTGTTAACTCTGTCTGTGACACAAGTTGCATGTGAGCGAAGCTTTTCCACCCTAAAATTAATCAAGAATCGATTAAGGAGCACAGCGGAGGAGCATCTTGAAGCCTTTATGTTGATGGCAATCGAAAAAGAGACTCTGGTTTCTTTGGACACGGATTGCATCATTGAAAGGGGAGAGGAGCGCGCTGATGCAAGCTGCTGATAAGGTAGGTCATGCTTCTTTTTATCATACCCATTTTCCGCACTAGGCTATACGGCGAAAAAATATACTCGGGTGCGTGTGTTTTTGGCCGCTGTGCCATGCTCGTGTGCGTGTGTTTTTGGCCGCTGTGCCATGCTCGGGTGCGTGTGTTTTTGGCCGCTGTGCCATGCTCGGGTGCGTGTTTTTTCTGGTCGCTGTGCCATGCTCGGGTGCGTGTTTTGGCCGCTGTGCCATGCTCGGGTGCGTGTTTTGGCCGCTGTGCCATGCTCGTGTGTTTTTAGCCGCTGTGCCATGCTCGGGTGCGTGTGTTTTTGGTCGCTGTGCCATGCTCGTGTGCGTGTGTTTTTGGCCGCTGTGCCATGCTCGGGTGCGTGTGTTTTTGGTCGCTGTGCCATGCTCGTGTGCGTGTGTTTTTGGCCGCTGTGCCATGCTCGTGTGTGCTGTGAGGGTCCGAAATAAACTTTTTGGCTCACCTGCCACGGGGACTATATGAAAAAATCCACCAGCAAGCATTTTTTTTTTTACCGGCCAAAATAATAAACAGCCTTTTTGTGTCACATATAGGCTACATTAATTTATATATAGGTAGGCTATATAAACATTTTTGTCATTATATTTCTGGCCTATTATATTCCATTCTTACTTTTAAATACACACATATTACACAATTTACACACATTAAATTAATATTTTTGTTGTTGTGTTGTGGCGCCTATGAAAATAGTTCTGTAAAAATTAAATGTATCAATTGTATATTAAATAAATAAAATGTAAATAAATAATAAAATGTATGCAATAATAATAATATAGGCCTAGTATAATTATATTTTAAAAAATAGTTTTACTCTGCCTATTTTTTACTCCATTCCCTGACTAATCCGATCAGAAACTGAAGGACTGGGAATATCCATAGACAGTAAAAGGAAATATCAGTTGTTTTAACCATTCATTAAAATGAATCGGTAGGAGTCATTAGTTCGCGAATTTTTCCTGCCACACTTCTTCCTTCCAATCAACTTGATATGCTTGACGATGATCGTCTTCTGGACAACTGTCAAGTCAGCAGTCTTACCCACCGTTTGTGGTTGCATAACTAGAACTAAAGAGACTGGTATATTTATAACAGGTACAGTTACACACTTTACTGTTTTCTCCTGACCATAGATGGCGCAACATCCTTAAATTTGTCACCTGAAAAATCCTAAAAATTTCATCTGAAACAGTTTTGAGGTGAATGGGGATTTATGACATTGTATTATATTGAATATCAACGTTTTTTTTTTTTTTTTTTTTTTTGTGGAGAACGTTACTGCTTTTAGATTTGTGGGGTAAAAGTTTTTTTTTTTTACCGAGATTTTACCCCATCTTACCCCTCTTTAATATTTGAAATTTTGTCATTTTGTAACTAAATTAGCAAATATCACAATAGCTGACGCATCATCATCATCATTCACATGCTAAACATATCTAAATATGTTACAATTTGAAAGTAGGCCTAAATCCAGATTGTTCTTAAGGGGGCCATCTTCCCCATCCTACCCTGCTGTATGTTTAATGTTATCAAACTTAAAATTAAATATTTTGAGACAATATGTTATCCGTATCAACATTGAAAATACAAATGTTGCTCGAAACATTTTAGTTTATGAGTCTAATATAGGCCTAAATGTATTACAAAACTCAAAGCGTCGCTCATGATGTTCTCCACTAGGTGGCGTCGATGTGTACACTTCATCACACGTGTCACGGTTGTGTTTGGTTTAATGTTAACAGTTCGCCAGCCCGACCCTGTACAACAGAATCACGGCGCTGTGACTTCAGTGAAGACGACTGTGAATCCTCAGACTGTAAGTAGGCTATACACTAAATAATCATTCGTTGGTTTTATTAATACATCTGGTGTTAATATATGATTATCAAGTCTCATCTACACATTCCGTAAGTTTTTTTTTAAAAAGTCAAAAACTTTTAGATGGCTTTTTGTAGATGCATATTTGTGAATCGAGTCGACAGTTTAAAATATGCGGCGATTGTACACAATATAGCTACAAAACATTAGAATAAAAGTCTCAATATATTTTTTCGTTTAATCGCATCTTATAAAGTTGAATTATAGCCTAAAGGCATTTTTAAACAGTTTTTGCCTGAATAGTGAAACACAAACGGGATTTTTACCATTGTCTTGTTTATTCTTATAATTGTTTGATCACAGCTCATTTTATGATAAAATAAATAAAGCATGCAATGTTAAGTGAACTTTTTTTGGTGGGCAAACGCTGCTTAAGTGAAAGTTTAGATAAATGCTAATGAGCCCCCTTCATTCAGATGTAACGTTATTTAGTATCATTAATAGCCTAGAAATATAAATGACTGCACATCACTAGCAATCATTTTAAAGGCTTTAAAAGCAACATAAAGTAAGTAAATGTATTAATAAGGTACTGCTTGTAATTATAAGCCTGCCTTCAAATTCCACACTCAGTTGCATACAATAGAACTTGTTTAAATATAACTTTCTAAAAGATTAAAGACCTCCTGCTAATGTGTAGTTTAACATTATATAACAAAAACGACCCAAATAAATTGTAATGAGTGATAATGGCAAGTTTCTTTGAGATGTTTTGTCTAAATCACTCTCTTTATCTCTACACCCCTCCCTTCCGGATGAAAGGTATTCAGGTGAGATAACCTGATCGCTCGCCAGGTGCCATGAATTGGGCTTTCCTTCAGAATCTCCTGAGCGGGGTCAACAAGTACTCCACCGCTTTCGGTCGTGTCTGGCTGTCCATAGTCTTTCTTTTCAGGATCATGGTCTTCGTTGTTGCTGCAGAGAAGGTGTGGGGCGACGAGCAGAAAGACTTTGCATGTAACACTGCTCAGCCTGGCTGTCACAACGTCTGCTACGACCACTTCTTCCCGGTGTCCCACATACGACTGTGGGCGCTGCAGCTCATATTCGTCACCTGCCCATCATTACTCGTGGTCCTGCATGTGGCGTACCGCGAGGAACGCGAACGCAAGCAACGCCTGAAGTACGGTGACGACTGTCAGCGATTGTACATCAACACTGGAAAGAAGCGCGGTGGTCTTTGGTGGACGTACGTCCTATCGCTGGTATTTAAGATGGGAGTGGATGTGACCTTTGTGTATCTGCTATATCACATCTATGAGGGCTATGACTTCCCCACCATGGTGAAGTGTTCTGAGTCTCCCTGCCCTAATGTGGTCGACTGCTTCATCTCTCGACCCACAGAGAAACGAATATTCACCATCTTCATGGTGGTGTCAAGTCTGGTGTGTATCCTGCTCTCGCTCGTCGAGACACTCTACCTGGTGGGCAAACGCTGCTTTGAGTGTGTCCACAGGGTGCAGGGGTCACGGCAGGTAAACAAGGCAAGGTCCATTGCAAACTTGAGGGGCTCAAATATTCTTTTGGAGACAAACAGCAAGAAACTGACGAGGAATGACCAGCCAGCACCAGCATACAGTGTGGTCATCTCATCTTAAAGAAAATATGAAAAAAAATAAATAAATACTTTGGCCCAATGTGGGACTTCAAGAGATGGAAAATATTCTTCACGTTCACCACGATGTGAACTTGAACCAGACTGACTCAATGGACGGTTTGCAATAGAGGATGCTGCTTTTATGCTTACACTATATCCACTGGATCTTTTTGCTGGAAAAAAAGTTGTGGCCTGATAAAAAAAAACTTGAAAAACGCCATCATTCAGGTTGACACTGTCTTTAGTCTGACTAAAGCATGTCAGTTCAGGGTTTTGGGTGTGGTGTGGCTTCTGTTAGGCCAAGCTCCAGAACACCAGTGGGCACTTTGATCAAATAACAAATACAAAACACTTGGTATAAGACCAGATAATTACTATTAAATACTACATATTTGCCAGTTTTTAAATTGACACTAACAAGCAAAACGTGACTTCAAATGATGCTAAATAACTCTTCAGTTCACATATTTTAATAATTGTTCAATTGTACTGATTTTTTGTGTGTGCAGGAAACAAAAAGGCCATTATCTATGAAAACCTGTTTCCATCTTAATAATTCACAATTTGAAAAATCTGTCATCATTTACTCACCCTCATGTCATTCTAAACCCATTTAAAATGGGATCCAAAACAACATTTCACCCCAGTGACTTCCATTGTATGAACAAAATACAGTGAGGATTTCTTTTTTTTTTTTTTTTTTTCAAAACATCTTTTGTTTTCCACAGAAGAATGTAAGTCAGACTGGTTTAGAATGACATGGCAGTGAGTAAATAATCACTGCATTTTTATACATTTTTGTAAATTTAAATTTTTCTGTAGACTATCCCTTTGAATATCAGAATTCTGATTCACAATGTGACTTTATAGGTCGCAAATTATTTCTTATTTTAGTTTAAACTCATCTCATAATTAACTTTTCTATTCATTCTTTGAGGCGGAAACAGGTTTGATTATCTTCAATCGGCTTTTACTTGAAAAATTGTTTTATTCTGTTGGATGTAAGAACAGCATGCAAAGATGTCTACATTTCTTCTCCATCTATTTACAGTCATCACATAAAGCACATGCTGTTAAACTCAACACATTTTTACAAATACCTCCCCAAATCCATTATTTTGTAAATCTAGAAAGTGAGCCCTAATTTATACTTCAATTTGAATGTAAAGTTGTTTACAAATTTGTCGATTTTATTTTTTATTATTACTATTCAATATTTTGTAATTTTTGCTGAGTTATTTTTTTGTATATTAGCTGGTGTGTATATGTGTGTGTGTGTGTATGTGTGTGTTTATGCTAATGTGTGCATAAACTGTGGTGCTTCAATCCAATGTTTTCCAAGAATTTGCAGTATTTAAAATTTCAAGAATTTATTGATGAAGACTGTCAACACTGCCAAGATGAGCAAATTCAAAAGAGGCTGTTTAGCCTGTGTGTGTGTGTGTGTGTATGAGAGAGAGTTCTTCATTCAGTGATAAACATGTATCCATAAAAGTAAACATTCTCTGAGGTTCCTCTGTTTGTATGCTAAACTTTCGGGATTCTTTCCTCATTGCTGTGTTTAGAGTTGTTTACATTTGAGATACATTAAAATCTGCTTTTCTATTTTCTTACAATCTGTTGCCTATTTAAATCAGTGATGTCTGACTTTAGAGGAAGCAGATGAAAGCTGTGACTTTGCTGTTTGCAGATTTGATTTAACTTTTAAAACCAGTTAGGCCTACTGTTCGGCATGTGAGTGTGCTGTGGAGCAATAAAATGGCAAGAATGAAAATACACAGAGATAAACATCATGTGCTGTGTCGACATGACATTTCATTTTCTGCATCAAGCTGCAAAATGGCAAGACAGAATGAGAAAGAAATCTAGTTTAATTTTTAATGTACTTTCAAGGAAAATATAATTCTTCATATATATATGAAGAGTTCAGATGCAAAAGCCTCTAAGTGCCATTTGAAATTTTCTTCTAGAATGATCATTTTTATCAAGCTTGTATATATAAGTTCAGTGATTTCACTTAAATGGCAATGATAATTACCTATTAATTGTTATTTAAGTGAAATTACTGAACTTAAATATACAAGTTTGATAAAAATCATCATTAAAGAAGAAAATTTCAAATGGCATTTAGAGGCTTTTGCATCTGAACTCTTCATATATATATATATATATATAGAGAGAGAGAGAGAGAGAGAGAGAGAGAGAGCGAGAGAGAGAGAGATTTTGCAAATGCCTGTCACACTGTGGAATAACAAACCACTATTCTGAAAGAATCTTTAGGCCGTTTTGTAACTAGATTGTATTTCAACTTCCGCTAACACCATTCAGTAATCACACCTTTCAGTAGATAACATTACCCCAAGACAAAAAAAAAAAATGTCCCTCCCTGTTTCACTACCAGTGTACCTCAGCCTGTCTCTCTCTATTATTCTTCATATCTTCGTAACCTCTGTACAGTGAAAGGGTAGGGTCGATGTAGTTAACTTCATGTTGAAGCAGGTTTTGTAAGTCACATAAGGCGTAGAAACCGATCCAACGAGTCTCTTTCCTTTTTTAACACAACCGACATTCCACTCCCTGTTGACTGGGTTCTTGCTTTACTTCCTCCATCTCTTTTCATCATCGTTAATGGTTCAATTCACAAATACCAACATTTGGTAATCATACATATTCTGTATATGCACTGGTGTATGTTTAACTAATGTTTTTGTTGGTAAAAACCAAATTTAGAAGTTCAATTCCGTATACAAAAGCAAATCCAAATGAGGTTAATCATTTCCCCACATAAACAAGAAGTATAAACCATTTGAAAAACTTAACTGGTTCAGTGTTTCTTTTGCAATGTTTCATAATGTTTCCTCTTGTGGAACAAACAAGTTCAGACAGCTCACAAGGCCTGAGTTATTCAGGCAGAGCAGGCATGATTTCTTTTAATACTTTGAAAACACATTAAAAGGAAGACTGGCAGTCCTGTAAAAAAATTATGGATATTTTTTTTTTTTTTTTTTTAACTAGAGCTTATTGAATGCCCCAAAGCAGAGAATGAATCATCATTTTGTGGATGTTTTAGCAGTGAGTCAGAGGGCTTCACACGTGTGACCGGACAGAATTTCTCTTTGCTTTGATGGCAAAACCACAGAGACCTTTCCTGTGGAAAGCTCAACTTCTGGCTTACTTGGAATCAAATCTGCAGTCTTTTTTATTACTATCCCAAATCCTTAACCATTAGATTCCCACCACCAGCTAAAACTATAAATAAACTCACATCCAAACCAAATGAAGGGCTTTTGCCAAGGATTTTCCATAGCAAAAGTTGCTTGGGATACATAAACAATAATTGCCCAAGATAATTAGTACCAAATTCTCAGCACAACACTAAAAGGGTGTCTGACAAAATATTAAAAGTATGCCTCCACAGACCCACTACACAAGTTTCTAGGCAATAAAAAGTAAAAAAAAAAAAGAAATATTTAAAGCTATTGTTCAAGACGAGGTGTGGTCCTTTATGTGACTAGGGAGCACAGACATTCATGGACAAGTTTGAACAGAGAAGCCTGCAGACGTTGGCAACTCCACAAACCACTAACAAGCAGTGTTTGGTTGACAGAGCTGTCCAAACAAAGGGAGTCTTATTTATTAAGCAATAAGATGGAAAATGTTACTAGGCTTCACAGGCAAGGGTTTCCTATTTGTCCCCATAAACATATACAATGCAGTATCATCATGTTAACTGTAGGGCTATACAAAACAACAACAAAAACTTGATGGAGTCATATTACCAAGTACATTTAGACACTGAAACTTATAGGAACAATGTTACCAATGTTCAACAATGTTCACCACATTGGACATTTAAGATAAGGCTAAACGGGAATGCATGGTGATTTTACGGGCATTTTACTTAGCCTACTATACTTACACACGCACATGTATATTTTAGGCTATGTGTTATTATATTAACATGCTATATCTTTAAAGTAAGATGTTTATAGTAGGCTACAGTGTCCTTTTCTCTGGATACTGAACTCCACCCTCAGTGAGGCGTGATAACTAAACCAGTTCCACAAGGAAGAATGAGAAGAGAAGAGTTTAGCCTTTGAATTAGCCTACAAGAGAACAGAAACATCCAACGTAAGTAGTAAACTTTGTTTTGGGGCAATTTGTTCAAATGACAATCATCTGCGCTTGTAGTGAAGTATTTCATCACTGTAATTCACTCGTTTCCGTTCATTTACCTTGATATGGATTTTCTGCTTGATCAAGATTGAGGGCAAAGAGGTTTAACATTTTTAAAAGAATATAGCAATTAAACTTTCGCTTTTAGTCGGTTCAATTTTTTAAAGCTCTGTCACAATTATCTCATTATAATAAATATGCCTGCCTTAACAAAAATGAATATTTATAAATTATAATCAGTATTATAAAACCGCGAATGGTAACGTTAGCCTAATTAAAAACGAAAACCGCCGACAGCCGTAGCAAATAAATTCTGGACATAAAGTAGCGAGAAAGAGAGCAGCACTCGTTTTACTTTGATTAACGTTACAGTGTAGAAAAAAAAAAATACAGACTAACATCAGCATACATAGGGTGACCAACAATCCTGTTTTCCTAGGACATGTCCTGTTTTCATGTTCGGTCCTGGCAGTCCTGGCTGTTTTTAATAAATATATATTATATTATATAGCCTATTTTTTAATACAGAAGAGACATTATGTCTATCATTATTTCATTCATTATTTTTAAAACCTGTAATAAAACATGTTGAGTAACCTCTGAGAAGCCTATCATAATTTGTGTCTTGTTATATAATCATTTTCTATTCATACAGAGGAGCAGCCTACTTTAAATGTATTGAAATTAATAAGGCATCACTGAATAAATTTAGAGTATAATTTGAGAGTATAAGGTTTGTCGGGCTGAGTGTCCTGGTTTTTGGTAATCAAAATTTGGTCACCTTAATACAGATTCAACACGTGTAGCTACTACATCGCCTACTTAAATATCATCAAATGTTAAATCACATTCATTCAGTTGAGGGAAAAATGTTATGGGTCTGTCACGTTTCAAAATAACAAACGAGCACCATAAAAGTATCTTTACTCTGTAGACTATTTAGCCTTCTGAAGTCATACAATAACATTCTGTGACTAACAGATTAACAATTAAGTCATTAATCACTGTTAATTCTCCTACTCGTGAACTACTGTTTTCAGATCATTGAGTTGATATAGGCCTATTCATTGATATTCTTAAAAAATAGCTTTGGGGGCCGTTTACACAACACCATTTTCAACTAAAACTGGAAAACTTTTTAATGTGTTTTGGTCAGTTATTTACACGCCAACTACGTTAGCAGAACTTCACCTGCTGTTAGCATCCCATTGACTTCTATTCATCTTGGCATCACTTTGATAGCGAATACATTACATCTTTACATCTGAGGCGTTCAAAGACTTAATTTGTCATTTATTTATTTCTAAAGAAACACAACAATGTATAAAATGCTCCATTACTTTGTATCTTACGTTACGGCCACGTAGAAGCCGTTTTTGTAAAAATAGGCTAAAGATGGCGTCTTAACCACGGGACTTTTACACAATGCAACGCAAGTGAAGTTCTGCTACAAGATGTCAGCTCCTGCGAGGCTTCAACTTCTGGTTGATGGATTACCCCCTTGGGTCGCTGTCTATATTTCTAATCTGTCGAAATCGCGGCACCAATCAGAAACATTCGGGCAGGCTTTACACGATGACGACAGCACAGCGACGGTGAAGCAGATTTTGTACATTCACAAAGATGGATGCTGCTGTTGAACGAGGGGTGTCACGGTTAGTTGAGTTCACCCATTGTGATTTTTTTTCCTCCTGTTTTTTTCTATTAGACAGATTCAGTGTCGAAGAGGATCAGAGGAAGAATTCAGAGAAGAGTAAAGTGAGTTGTCTTTGCCCTGAGCCATGGACTGGAAGACTTTTCAAGCCCTTCTCAGTGGGGTGAACAGATACTCCACTGCGTTCGGCCGCATCTGGCTGTCTGTGGTTTTTGTGTTCAGAGTGATGGTTTACGTTGTAGCGGCCGAGAAAGTTTGGGGCGATGAGCAGAAGGACTTTGACTGCAACACCAAGCAGCCTGGCTGCTCTAATGTCTGCTACGACTACTTCTTCCCCATTTCCCACATCCGACTGTGGGCTCTGCAGCTCATCTTCGTCACTTGTCCGTCGTTGATGGTCGTCATGCACGTGAAGTACCGCGAGGAGCGCGAACGCAAGTATTGTATGAAGCATGGTGATAAAGTCAAGCTCTACGACAACACAGGGAAGAAGCATGGTGGACTGTGGTGGACGTACTTGATCAGCCTTTTTGTCAAGACCGCCATCGAGATCTCATTCTTGTACATCCTTCATCACATCTATGACAGTTTCTACCTGCCACGGCTGGTGAAGTGTGAAGTCCAGCCATGTCCCAACATTGTGGACTGTTACATTGGCCGACCCACAGAGAAAAGAGTCTTCACCTACTTCATGGTTGGAGCTTCGGCACTCTGCATAGTGCTCAGTGTCTGTGAGATCATCTATCTGATCTCCAAACGAGTCATTCGCTGTGCCAACAAGTTTAAGAGATCCCACAGAAGTAGCACACCGCTTGATGGACGATACCGAGACGAGGACAGCAACTGCACGCTTCCTATGCATGAGTTGGACAGAAAACCCCATTATAAGACAGAGTCTAAACCAGACTTTAAATCGGAGTATAAACCTGGGTCTAAACCGCAGTTTAAATCTGAAGTCAAGCCAACATTTAAGCCAGCCTACAGGTTGAGCGTGGACATGAGAGCTTCTGCTCCAAATCTCTCAGTACCTATGTACAAGTTGCAGTCTGATATCCTCTAAAGAACATGTTTCCCTCTGTGTCACGTATTCACAAAGTCACACAGAGTTGTAAAACAGGCTTTAAAGGTCTGGAGAATCCCAAAGTCTTTCGTTGTCTATCAAGACCTTTTGAACTGTCAGTCTTAGGTGTTTGACATTTTGCAGAAGGTTCTGAAATTCTGTGTGCCAAATACATTTCCTTGAAAATAGCAGGGATAAAATGTTTTGCCTAATGGCGAAGTGGGGATTAATCAGTATTGTGATTTCACTGCTACCTGGGTTCAAACCTGGAATAACAGCTCAAATGACAGAGCATTATCACAATGATCCTAAGAAGTATGTGCTGACGAAAGCATTCATTTTCTTCTGATTCATTCTTCTCATCATTTCTTTGAAAGAACAAAGGTGAAAAATTGCGAAAAAGCAAAAGAGTAATCAAATAACCAGGAAGGCATTCATAGAGAACACACCTTACAAAACCCACCTCTGTCTTCACACGCACAAAGAACGATAGGAGGAAGAGTGGTTGTATTGTATGCGAGATGTAATGAAAATTCCTCATGGGTCATTGATTGTTTACTATGTATCATTTCTCAATGTCCTGGATTTGTAGTAAAGATCAGAATCAAGTTTCATTGTTGAAGCTGTTTTGACTATCACAGTTTCAGAGAGATTATAGTTGATGTTTATGTGCGAAGACTCCTGAACTCTATATGAACTCAAATTCTTATGCTGGAAAAAAATGAGTGGTATATAAAATAAACCACAGTGTCTAAAGATGGACAACAGTGGAACGTTTTTTTGTTTTTTTTTACTATTTGCTGTAAAAGACTGTGGACTAACCTCTTCTGATCTACACTTGGCAAGCATTTGTAAGAATCTGAATTTGTTCAGACTTGCTGTTATGATATATGAATATATGATATATGTTATGAATATGTTACATATTTTTGCTGAGGTGTTTCATGCTGTATATGCTGCCTTTGTATAAAGAAAAATTCAATCAATGCACTGACATATTATTTTATGAAATATTTTCAGGTTATTGTTTAAATAGCTTTTATGACAATATGAGATGGTTTTGTAAATTGAGGAAGTTTTAAAAAGTTTATTCATTTTGATACTCTGTAAATAAAGTATAAAAGAACCATTTTGTCCATTTTACCATTTTTAAAAGATTTAACTGTGCAAATGTTTAGGGCTAGTTAGATAAAAAAGAAAGAAATGAATACTGTTATTATTCGTAAATTGATCAAACCACAATAATACATTAACTATAGTCTATGGATTGTGAAAAAAATATACAAAAATGGATCAGGGTTTCCTTTAAAGTAATGCTGTCCAAAATAATATTTTAATAATCAGAATGATTTCTGAAAGATCATGTGACTCTGAAGACTGGAGTAATGATGCTGAAAGTTTACCTTTGCAATCACAGGAATAAATGACATTTTAAAATATTCAAATATAAAAGCGATTTTAAATTGTAATAAAATTTTACAAAATTACTGGTTTCTGTATTTATGTTTTGACTGCTTTAAAAAAAGTTTAGTTGCTTCAAAATCTTAATGGATCAAAATCTCTGGAACCCTACCCAATGTATAGGTACCTTTTGGACATGAACACCATCAAATTAAAAAATGAAAATTGTGTTTCATATAGAGACATTAATAGAACTTTTTTTTTTAAAAGTCATTCTTCAGAATAATCGATTTGATCACATTTTAACTGCTGATGAACACATCAAACCTTAGTAATACATGAACTGTAAAATATGTTTTTGAGGGTGTGTCTATGATGTCAAACAAAATGCGTAAATATACAAGAGTTGTTGATCTAGTACATCAGCCTTCAAAAGATAAGTACATTCTTTCCTCTTGGCAAGAAGATTCCAGTTTGATACAATTGTAAAAAGAGTTAATCTGCCTGTCAGCCTAACCAGCAAGATGATTCCAGTTTTTTGTTCGTCACAGTTCAGCTGTCAGCCTAATCAGTTTTTTTTAGTCTAAACATAAGTTTCTCACATTGCATAAGGACTCATAAAATCACTTTTTTTCATTTTCTTGTCTTTAATCAATACAATTAATTACATCAATTAAACATCATAAACTGTGACCAAAAAAGATAAAGAAAAAAAAATCACACAATGTCAGTTAACAACACAAAGAGAAACAATAATAAGCCGTTTTACCCACAAGACAAGTCTAAAAACCTTTAGCTTTAGCTTGATTTCTGCCTGTAACAAACATTTGCATTTACAGTTGCTTGCAAATGTAAAGGGATTTTCCTTCAATAATTTTCCTCAAACTATTCAAGTTTTTTCCTGGAGAGGAACAAAATTCACCAGTAATCAGTTATCATATTGTTGCATCAATTCCACTCCCAGAGAGTCTTGTAATGAGTTTGTTATGACTACCAGTTTTGCAATGCATTTTACTAGTAATAACAGACACTTCCGTTTCAAAATTAGCCAAATTGGCACTCGCAGACACATATCTGGGGATGTTAGACATAAAAATGTGTGACGCCTCATTCCATGTGGCATTACAGTAGTTATAATACTAATCAACATTAGTAATGTGATTCAGTCTAACCAGCGAGACATTTGCACCTGTATTATTAACAATATTCAGCAAAGTCAAATTAGGTCCATTTCAAGCATTTATTGTTTAGGAATCATAAATGAATCTTACTTCAGCTGTACATAAAACACTTAATTATTTATTAGAAATAAAAACTCTGTATTTATTGATTGGCTGTCATCAGTTATCAAGGCACAAGAGAACATTTTTGGTCTGTCTAGTTGTGAATATTAGGTGATACAAAGTTCACGAGCGTCCTTTTACACCACCAGACTAATTCCCACATTCACAGAACAGATGTGTTCAGACTAGCTTCACTATGATTAGAGATACTTATTTTAAATATGCTGTAAATTAAGAGGGTTCTCTGCATACTAAGGGATAACACCGTATGACCCTCACAGTATGACCCTCCACAAGAGTGAACCCAGACTACAATCACTAAGAAGAGAAAAAAGACTTCAGAGTTTGCAGGAAGCCTGAGCAACTTTTGAATTTGTTCTTCTGTTAAGTGAATTACAGATGTATGAGCCAGCGTCCAACAGTTTGGGCAAGTCCACTCCCTGAAAAACAGAAACAGCAGCCTGTGATGACTGGGTGGTATAATCGATTAAAAATTTTTTTTTACCCAGAGCCTCATGTAGCAAAGATATTTTTGTGACATATTTCATTTTTTTCATTACATTTCATGGCAATTCTCAGTCCCCATTTTAAGCCGGGTACACAGTACAAATTACAATAGTCCTTTATGACTGTTGCTTGTCAGACTCTATGAACATGATTCCCACTGTAAGCATGCATGTCACACTGCAGGATCTCAATTAATTAATCAATGTTAGACTGTACGGCAGTCAAGACGTGTTGAAAAGGGATGCAGGCAGGAAGACACATAGGGGGTTTTACATCTATCCGTGACAAGAGCTAAATTACATGCGGGATTGAAATGTTGGCTGGCAAACAAAAACAATCTCTAGCTTTAATTTTGATCATGGTTCTCTTGAAAAGTTAAAAAACAAAGACGATGTGTGTGGAGCAAGTGGTGATTTGCTGTATCACTAATTGCATCATTAGGTTCTATTGGTTTTGAATCGATGGTTGTCATAACAGGACTTCTGATACTGCAATCAAATTTGACCTCAAATTTGAAATTCTGGCAATGGTCATTAATCGGCTGTCGGTAAACATATAAAAAAAATAATTGTCAAAGACATCTTTTAGGATTTTCTAAATTTGTCTCAGACAGACAAATCGTGGTCAAAATCACGCAGTGTGACTGTGAACCAAAGTTCAGATTGTTATGAAGAATATCACATGGCTAATGCTAGTATGAATTGATTGGCTGGATTTTACAAGTCCCTAATTTTAAGGTTCTCTAAATGATTACTAAAATCAAAAGCAGAGGCAGAACAATTGGTTTAATTTATGATTCTTTGTTTTTCTTTCTGAAGCTGATCATTACCTTTTACTCCCTTACGGCATAACTACTGATTAAATAATGCAGCCTTGGTGAGCATAAGAGACTTCTTTCCGAAAACATAAAATCTTACTGACCCCAAACTTTTGCAGGGTGGTGTACTGTACAGAAAGCCCCAATTAAGAAGATACACAATCATCCAGCAAAATCAGTAATTAGGTGTAACAACACCTATCAAACCCAAGTTGTTTGGGTAGGGCTAGTAAAATAACGCATTTACAGACCAGAACTTTTAAAAAGAAAAACCCAGATGACAGAAAAATTTACAGAAAGAATTAGTACAGACACAGTCGTGTTGGACTTACAGTATGGATTCCCAGTCCGTGCAACATATAGACCACATCTTCAGTTGCAACATTCCCAGAAGCCCCCTGAGCATAAGGGCAGCCGCCTAGGCCTGCAACAGATGAGTCCACGACACTTACCCCATTCTAGAATAGATCGCAGGAAACAAAAGTGTTTTGTATTTAAAAAGTAGTTGCTCATTTTAAGAATGTGAAAAATAACAGAAATGCACGGAATGTACACAAAGAGCAGGTCTCAATAGCCAATTATAGCTGCAAGCATCGAGGATGGGCCCAAGCCCTGACACCTCCGTCACCCCGATGATACACACACACACACACACACAAAATAGTGTGCTAAAGAGCCCTTCTAATACAACCATATAAAAGGGTGCACCATAGAGCCCCCCTTATGTCAACTTGTGCCTTGCCCTGAAGGCGGACAATTCCAAATTCAAGAGTTTTTGAGCATGAGAAGGTCCACAAAAATGCCAAAAAGATTGGATTTTTTTTTTACCTTAGGAAAACAATAAGGCCCAAGGCAAATACAATAAAACAATACAAATATAGTAAAAAATATCCATCATGACAGACAGGCACACCATGATTCCACACACCCTCTGACTCACTCACCTGTAATGCCACAAGTATGTTAGCAAGCGCTTGTCCATAAGTGTCATGACAATGAACTGCTAAAGCCTCCACAGGAACCTCTTTTTTCACAGCATTCAACATCTCCGACATGCCGCTCGGAGTGCCTACTCCTATCGTATCGCCAAGTGAAATCTCATAGCACCCCATGGAATACAGTCGCTTAGCAACCTCTGCCACTTTGTTTGGCGATACCTTCCCTTCATATGGACAACCGAGCACACATGACACATAGCTTGAAAAAATAGAGCAAAAGAGGATTTTTCAACAATAAGAGCATAGTAATTTTAACTTTTTGCACACCGGGTTATGAAAAATAAATAGAAAGACAAACTGTGCAATCTGTGTTTGTCTCACCCTCTCACAGGAATTCCTTCTTGTTTGGCCGCTTTCATCACCTCCTCAAAGCGCACAAGACTCTCGTCCACTGAACAATTTATGTTCTTCTTGCTGAAAAGCTCTGATGCAGCACCAAATATTGCCACCTCTTTTGCACCAGCCTTCACCTGAGATAAAAAAATTGTACACTGCAACATTACTACCATTTAAAATCACTGTTTTCTATTTTAATACGTTTTAGCAAGGTTGAATTTTGAGCATTCATGCCTTTAGTGTCTCATGATGCTTCAGAAATCCTCCTAATATGCGGATTTGGTGCTCAAGAAAAATGTCTTATTATTATCAATGTTGTAAACAGTTTAATGTTGTTAAGAGTTAACTGATTAATATTTTTTTGTAGAAACCATGATACGATTCTTAGAAAATCAAAGTTCAAAAGAACACCATTTATTTGAAATACATTTTTTTGTAACAATGTAAAAATGTTTGCTGTCATTTTGATCAATTTAACGCATCCTTATGGTGAATAACAGTATTAATTCTGTTAAATCTAGTTTACTTCTATTAAATATTACTGACTGAAATCTTTTAAATGATAGTATAAAAATATATGTTGTATAGCACTAGCACATGACAGTCTGCTGTTATTCACTTACAGCAGCCAGGAATCCCTTCAGATTAGGGGTTAGAACGGGGTAATTCACGCCAGGTTTCTTGTGGAGACCACACATCACTTGCTCCTGATCAGCCATCTGCCAATCAAATGCAGACAAACTTCAATGGTTACATCAAAGATCCTCTCATAATTCCATATTTTTATCGCAAGATGAAAAAAAAACAAGAAAAAAAAATATATAAATTAAACCATTTTAACCATACCACTAAATCTAACTGATGCTAACATGGTCTTCGATGGTGTTCAACACACATTTACCTGTTAAAATATCAGAACATTTTGTTTGGGGTTTCATGACCCGTTAATGTAATGTTTGCATGCTTCATTGGTGTGCTGTAGCTCACCTGAGGGACCCATTTAGGTGAAACAAAACTTGTGGCCTCAATGACAGGAAGTCCCGCCTCAGAGAGCATGTCAATCAGACGGATCTTCACTTCAGTGGAAACGATGGCCTGATGGACACAGAAATTATATAGCGCCTCTATTTCACATCACATGGTTCTCAGAACTATCACACTAATACATTTCCATGAACTATCATTTTCGATGACTTGAAATGTTTTTTATCAAATAATTAAAAAATTAAATAATAAAAATATATATATATATATGATTATATGTATATGCATACATACACCCACACACACGTATGCTCTCATATGTGTATACATACAGACACACACACACACACACATACATACATACATACATACATGCATGCATACATACATATTATATATAAGTACCTATATGTATGTGTGTATATATATATATATATATATATATATATATATATACACACACACAACTATACCTTTGAAATTCCATGATATTTGCAAGACTGGCTTAATAATTTACTTTGAGACACCCGTGTTTGACAGTAGGTAAACTCAAAACAGAAGTGATAACCACATTTCACTTTGTCATGTTGGATTGTGATCCAGGCTGATTAACACTGAAGAATCTTTACCTTCTCATTCTGGAGTCCATCTCGGGGTCCAACCTCCACAATCTTAACCCTCTCTGGGAATGACTGAGTGGCAGACACACTGACCTGTTAAATCACACACACAAAAAAATAGACAAACACGCACACAAAAGGGCAAATACAAACCACATAACATCGTCACATTCAGAGCAGCAAATAAAAACTTACGGATCTGAGCACGACGGCAGCAAAAGAGTGCAGAGCAGGTCGGTGAACCCGAACAGAAGTGAACGTACCAGGACCAACTCTCATCATAACAAAAGCCGCCATCTTCACACGCCCCCATTAGCACTGACGTCATAACGCCATATAGTAATTTAGTTCTCGCGATAATACGGGTCAGACTTCGAGAGCTAAATAGGCTTGTTTGAGATGCGCCTCGCCTCGCCTGCAATGTAGTCGAGAGTAGGCGGCTGCAGTGAGGGGAGGAGTGAAAAAAGCGCAATCACGCCGGACAGATCTAGGTTCTCGCAGTGAATCAGACACCTGTGAGATCAAAGGCGGATATCGCGGGATTAACGGGATTCACGCTCGTGCACGTGTTGCTAATAAACTGGATGTGATTTAAGTTCTGTTGCTTTTATATAAAAATAAATATAATGTAAATAAAACCCAAAGTACTTGTTATTTAATTACATTCCAAATAGCCTATGGTTTATCAATCTTTTTTTTCTTTAATACAGACGTGTTTTTATATAGCCTATTGTTTTAACAAAAATGAAATATAACCCATATGGCACTGTCAGAGAGTTTATTCACCCATATGTATACACATAAAACATGATATCAGTTTTAAAATCAAACATTTTAAAAGAGAACAATTCATCTGTTGTTCTTTTATTTTTATTTATTTTACTTTTTTATTAGAATGCAAGTTACAAACATAGCCTACCTACAAGCACCACAATTCGTGAAACAAATAGGCCTATTATACAGCGACAAATACATAAACATCAGAATAAAATTAATAATAAAATAAATAAATTAATCAATCAAAATAAGCTTAGCTTAAATAGACAGACTTACAAACTTCATCATCTATAAAATGAGAGCTATTTTTCATCATCTATAAAATGAGAGCTATTTTTCTCTTGAACATTTTAGAGTAGGCCTAGTATATTTGAGTTACTGACTATAGCTTTCTTATTTTTAACCCGTTTAAGAGATTCACAATATAGATCAGTTTCAATTTGAAAAAAATAAATAAATAAAACATGGCCTTGATTTGGAGAATTTAGCTTAATGAATATGGAATTTACCTTCATCACTGTTGTTTAAACCAATGAGCATTAAGCTGTGTCGTCAGCAAGTCGTTTCCCATCATGCTTTTGATCAGCGCAGTCGGTGGAGAGCAACTGCGCGCGACTGCAGAATCCGACCCTTCCGCCTTGCGCTCGCGAGAGTTTTTTGACATACGTCGGCATGACATCAGAGCCAGGCGGACCGTTCTCGGACACATTTCTAACCGGCATGCATCTCGCGCTGATCACCGGTGATCGATTCTGCGCAGAATTTGCTCATCTCAAACAAGCCTAATGTTTTCTCGTTTGCACAAAAAGTCAACAATTCCAAGAGTTTTTGTTAAATGATAGTCTACTCTAAACAGAATGAACAAATTGATTTGCGTTTTATTCTGGTTAAATGTAAATGATGATTCTTACACACAATGCATGTATAAAATACATTTCTTAAGTCTAAATAATCAAAGCAAATAATTGTCATGTCAAAATTAGACAAATTGCAAAGATGATATTTCCAGAGTCAAACAGAAACATATACATTCATACATACAAAATTTTATTTAGACAATGTTTAAGTTGAGCATGTGACTGATAATAACTTGTTGCAATTTAAATAAATAAATTAGACTGCTACACATTACACAAAGTAGGTCACGTGGACTCCATGCAGGATAGTATATAAAATGATAAATGTAAACCTTGGCATCAACTAAAGTTTGAAAGCTTGATATCACAGATTTTTTATTTATTTTTAATTAAAGAACAACCCCAGTGTGTCAGCCTTGGATATAAATTGAATTACCACCACATTGTCCTTTTGTCCATAAATCCCTTTTTGAAATAAACTAAATATACTTTAAATTACAGAAATATACTTGTACTTTTATAAAAAAAAAAACTTTAGATACTTAAATACTTTAGATTTGTGAGAGAGTCTTTTTATTTGTACAAAAACACAATCATTTCCCTTATGAAATTAAGAGAAACATGAACAGATTTTAAACTGCCAAGCTGACAGCTCTTACCCATTCACCATCACAAACACAAACATATCATCACTTTCCACTGGCTTCCTCGTCACTGTCCTCCACTTCCTGGATTATGAGATCTGCTCCAGAATCTTCTGCGAGGTCATCGTCGTCCATGACCCATGTAATTTGCCTGTTGTCACTCATGTTCTCTTCCACACCCAACAACAGGCCTTCCTTCTCCTCATTGTCATCAGTTCCATCTGTGATTAACTCACTGTAGCCACTCTCCTGAATGCAAATGTCGCACAGCCTGTATTTGCGGGTTCCCTCGCTTACCACTCGCCCATTGACTTCGGTTACATGCCGTTTACACTTCCTGCACACCAGCTTACGGGCCTGATGAATCTGCGTAACAAGTGTTAAAAAGGAGAGTGGATGTTTTAGATCTATCTCACATCAATATCATATTTCTTTTGTTTAACAAGTTGAAAAATGTATATATAATAATCATATCTAAATACATTTGACTGAATTTAACCCTGACTTAATGGGATCACAAGGGAAGTACAAGATATGATGAGTTAATGAACTGGACATGTGTGAAGCTTAGTGTGTTTCTCACCGTCTCAAAATGGCTGCGCAGATGTTCCAGACGAGTGAAACGTTTGCTGCAGGCCTGACAGGGATACGGACGCTCACCTGTGTGACAGCGGAGATGACGCTTCAAGTCTGCCTTCCTCTTTACAGTGTGCGTGCAGAACGGACATTTGTAACGCATAGAAGGAGTGGAATCTGAGACAGAGAGAGAGACATTGACAATTGGTCGTGAGATAGGGTAGGACAGTCAGATTCCTTTCACGCATTACCACATCAAATAACTGAAAGCCTGTTTAAAAAAAAACCTAAAAAAACACACCTCTTGTTTACCCAGAAACGGTGCATAATAGAGATATAAAGAAAGAATCGGGGGCAAAATGTGTGATAAAGGCATGAAGGAGAAATGTTTTGCCTTTTTATCTACTGTCCAAGTTTTGTCTGTTGATTAAAATCTTGAATAGCTCCTATTTACAAAACAGATTTGTCCAATATGACTTGACTCTTTCACAGTGGAAGGCAGAGAAAGTCTTGTTGGAGGACAAGAAAAACACTTTATATTTATGTTAAATAGAAAAGAATAATACAAAAAAAAAATTCTATTTTTTTTTATAGAATTAAAGGCAACCAATTTTTTTGGGGTTCCCTTTAATTCTATAAAAAAATGTTTTTAAAGTCTTTATGCTCACCAAGAACGCATTTATATAATAATAATTAAAATAAAAACAGTAAAAACAGCAATATTGTGCATTATTACAACAATTTAAAAGTTTCACAGTTTCTATTTGAATATATTTAAAATTATAAAGTGTTTAAAATATAAGATATAGTGTTTAACATTTAAAATATTTAAAAATATAAAATGTGCTGCTTATTTGCTGAATAGAACGTTCAAGCAAACACCATTTATTTGAAAATAGATTATTGTGTAACAAAGTTAAAGTATTTACTGTCATGTTTGGTTAATTTAATGCATGCATCCTTGCTGAATAAAACTTTTAGACGGTAGTGTGCTTGCTTACCTTTATTGAACACCCCAACTACCCCAACAATTGACGGAAGGTTGGCATACAGCTCGTCTGCTTTCTGTGAGCAGTGTGACACCACCCCCTGTAGGTCAATGAGAGAAGTGTCTTCTGTTACCAAGCGACTGGTGGCGGTTCTTTTCCTGCTTCCTCTTCTCCTGCGTTCCGGGAGCCCAGAGCCGTACTGCTCCTCCTCCAGGCTAGACTGCGGAGGAGAGTTCTGCTGAAGCCCTGACGGCTGTGGACTGGTTCCTCTGAAGTCTTCCTGTGGCTGTTCATCCTCTTGTTGATCCCAGAGTCTGTTCTGAGGGCTCATACTGACGTCACACATGTTGGACGGCTCGATGACGTTCTCACGTCTGTCCTGAAGAGGACTGCTGTCCGACAGACACAAATACCGATTCTCATCCTCCTCTTTTGCACTGATCTCAAGGAAAGATTTAATAAAGGCCTTGCAGTAGGAAATTACGTCATTCATCTGCAGGTAGCTGGCGGCTGACATCACTTCTATTACATTAGAGCTGTTGAGCTCAAGTTGACCAGAGTAAATGAAGTCCAGGATTATGGCAAAGATTTCAGGACTGAAGACATCAAAAGAAGCATTTACAGACTCCAGAGTGTCTTTAGATCCCTGAGACAGCAACATCCTGAAATATCCACTGCTGCCGTACAGGACATTTCGGTGCGCACGGAAAATCTGACCCTCAACCAGGACGTTGCAGTCACAGAACAACTCCTGCTGCCTCTGCTGGTCCAGCTGTTTTAGCAAACAGCTCTGGTGAATGGCTGACATATCTGCACTGGTCCATTTGTGAACAGGTCTGAAAAATAAGTGAGAAATTTAATGGAAAAACGCGTTGCCTAATTAACTTATTATTAATTTTTACATTAATTCTGCAGCGTGTATGTGTGCTTTTCTGTGACGTAATGGCAGCGATTTGATTTCACACAAGGAGGCAGCAAGACCCCGCCCACTGTTCTCTGATTGGACTACACATCTGTCAATCATAGACATTCGCTCTGGAAGGGGCAACACCCGACTTTGCGCATCGGGTAACAAGGGAGAGAATCAGGGAGAAAAAAAGGAGGAAATACAGAAAGCGGGAGAGAAGACGAGAAACGCGGTGTTTACACTGACGTTTAATACATTTAAATAATAACAATAAAGAAAAATTAGGGGACGTTCTTGCTGTTAAAAAAAATCTCAACATCATTCGTCTCCCCTCGCAGCACAGCACTCACACAGTACCAAAACTGGGTTACACCGCAAGTCAAGACATAAATAAATAAATAACCAAATTAATATAAAGCCATAGAATTCGTAGCAACCGAGAAAACACTGGACAAGTCAATCAGCTATGAGATGAAGTGCTCTGCCCCTTTTATGTGTAAAACGCCCGCCGGAAAATAAAATATCTGAGATAACGCACGCACACGCT